GAGGCAATGGCAAACCACTTCCAAAATCTTGCCAAGAAAACTGCAGGGACTTGTCCAGGCAATCACCAGGAGTCTACATTGATTCAAAGGGACACAAACCCACACATTTCTGCTCTACTTCATTAGGCACACTGTTGCTGGAAAGTAATATACAATATGTAATTTATCAAACAATAAAACAGGATTTTCTAGTTTGGGAAAATAAGAGCTATCCAGATAGCGCTTAACTGGACAAGTTTCCTCCATGTGCTGTAGAACATTCTAGAACTCATTTGCACCTATGTATTCTCACTTATTGAAGGATGATAACAAATTATCTTATGGTGAGTTGCAATGCATAAAAACAAGTTAAAGCAATAAACTAGTAAAAGAAGTACTACATTGCTTTAGAACAGGCACTAACAAACAAGTAACACTGAAAAACAAGCATTTAAGAGAGAAATGACATGATTCGGCTGCAACTAAGTCTCAACTGAGAGAGTAAAAGTCATATTCTCACCTGGTACTAAAGGGCAGGTAACAATAGCCCATAGGGTTAGAGGCAGTCCATTCAAAATCCTTAAATTCCAGAGAATTCTTTATCCTTAAAGAGAAGGCTTGCCACCACCAAGGTTATGTCTCCTTCAAGACAAGCCTAGGTTCTGGTGACTTCACAGACATGTCCGTATAGTTTTTGGGGGAACACTATGTATGTGATGTGTCACTGCTTCTTCTGGAAAGTTTTTTCAACTTCCCATCTAACCTACAGTTTTGTAGCTGGGGGGGGGGGTCTCCCATCCAATCTACCCCCACTGAGCTTACCAAGGGTAACTAGACGCTGCTACCTGTCTCAACATCAATGGTGTACTGCCAACTCTAATAATGAGACCCTGTTAATATTCTGAAATGATTTTATACAATACAGTCATATAGCTATCCCTCCTAAATACTGTAATGAGAACTCACAAAGCAATCAAAGAGATTTTAAAAATCCTCTAATCATGCGTGATAAAAAGTAACACGAGGATATAAAAAAAACAAGTAATGTGTGAAATAATAACTATAAAACAGCCTCCTTCCAAAGGTTGGCAACTACCCTAACTTCATTCCCAAGGCTGTTAAAACAGAAGTTTTATGTAGGGGTTTTCAGCTGTAGTGCTGCTGTTACTACAGTGCGTTTGGTACCTGTGCCTGTGTATTTTTATCTTTATTTAATTTTATGGATTTTCATTTCATTACTGTTTTGTTTTTATTATTATGGTATTGCAATGTTATTGTCCTTTGTAGTTTTCTTTGACTGAAGACCACTGAGAGTTGCTTTTTTTATTACAGCAGTACAGAAGTGCAATAAATAAATCAGTAAATAAATAAAAATAAAAACACAGTGTAATGGCTTATAGCAGCTTGTAAGCATCTAGATAACTCCTTTGGGGAACAGAGTACCACAGCACAGCACTAAGAAAGGGCATTCTAGAAAGATGACAAACATCTGGTCATGATTTATAGAAAGAAATGGCATGGTCTGAAGATCACAGTATTACAGAAGCAGCTATTAGAAGCAAAACCGATCTTCAGATTGCTTAGGGAGTAAAGGTAAAGGTGTTAGTACATGTGGTGTGAAGGACTGCTAGTTCATAATCTGCAACATATACGCTGAATGCTTCTGGTACAGACTTTTCAGCTAACAGAAATTACAGAAAAAGAAAAAAATTCTATTCTTGCTCAGCAGGTTAAAAAAAAAAGATATGAATAGTAACATAACAAATATGCTCATATTCACAATAAAGACACACACACATTCAGTATGCTATATTCCATTTGCAACCTCAAATGTTATATCAACAATGTTGCTCAACATCTAGAATTAAATTAACACACTTACCTCTCCGCAACGCTCTTTTGCTAATACCTCTAGTTTGGATTTTAACACGTTTATATTTTCATTTGATAAGCCTTTTACATTTTTAAGTTCAATTTCTGGAACACTAGAGGGAAGAAAAACAAATCACTAGAAGGCGAGTTTTACAAAGGGTTACCCAAGTTAGACCACAGCACTATTACTCCCAATAAATGATGAAAACATATACTGACTAATTAATTTAAAAGACCAGTAGGCCACCTGTTACTGCATGGTGCTTACATAAACACAGTAAAACATAATCATAGTAAAAGATTATAAAAGTGCATTTACACATTTCAAAAGCACATACCACACTCATTAATTTAAACAGCTAACGAGCAATAGAAAACATTAAAAAGTTAATCTTAAATCAAAGGAGTCTAGATTAAATAGTTTCTAAAGTATCATTGTAAAGTCAGCCATTTCTTGGGACCAAATTCTAAAAACATCAAGCAACACTCAGATAGCTTTGTTGCTGATGTCCACAGTAAATATTTGTAAAGTTTCCTCACAGTGTTTTTAAGCCTGAAGTCCCAGGCAGAATCATATGAATGCAGATATTCTTACAGGCAAATTGGCGCCCAAATGTTTAGGGCTTTGAAAGCCACTAGAGCATTTTTAATTAAACCTGGAAATGTATCAACCAGCAGTAAAAGTGATATATATCAGTGTTAGAAGCTTCAAGCATCTGTGTAACTACATTCTGCACCAGTTGAAATACAGTCATATAAATGGGATTATACCATTCTAGATATCACAAGTCCATGAATATTTGATGCTAAAATCACCTTCTCTAATTTGGATTGTAGATGACATACCACCTTAACTTGGTAAAAGGAACTCTGAGCCATTGAAACACCTTGCATGTGTATCAACAAAAGGAATCTTCGGGTAGCAAATATGGTCATTCAAAGGAATGCAATCATGTACAAAACAGATTGCGATCCTCTAACAATGTCAAGGAGAAGCCATCTGGTTTGTCTAGATATTTGTGACTTCAACCCCCATCAGGCCCTGTCTGCACGAACAATGAGTAATGGCAAGGAACAGTAAGAACTATATTCCAAATTATTTGGAGAACACAGAATATTTGCCCTGATCCAGCCTGCTTCGCATCCCAATACATGGTTCCTCAATTAAGCATCCTTTCATTCATCCATATCCATTCCTATGCTATGTCCAGATTTTTCAGAAAAAATTGTTGTTTTTTAAATTTAGAAAAATTATAAAATAGATTTGCTATTTACTCACATATCAGGATAGGTTTGGGGACACTTGACCCATAAGTCGACTTTGGCATAGACTTCACAGTCACCAGTTAAGCCCTGAGGTCGCAAGACTAGATTGATTTCAGGAGGCTGTCGTATCTGGAACATTAAAAAAAAAAAAAAATCAGAAAGTTAATAAGAAACTGGGCTCAACCAAGTTTTCCTATCTAACCACAAGAATGGATTCAAAGTTTTTATTTTCCTGGTAAGCAGGATTTGTATTCAAGGGAAATTACAAACAAAACATATGAAAGAGCTTTAAGTAAAGAAAGACTGTGTCAAGTGTTATATATAAATGTCTTGGGGAAAAGCATATTCTTTGGGGAAGTAATAACCCTGCTAATTATGCTTAATTTACCAGCCAGTGAAGTAAGTTTTTTTTTTCTTTTAACGTTCACAAAAGGCTTCACAGTTTAGCAGCAGCACTCGGGAAAAGTAAAAAAACCCAATTCCCTTTGATACTTATTATCTTACTTGCTCATTTTGATAAAAAGTTAGGGATATTAAGAAATAATTTGATACTCATGTGTCTCAAACTAAATTCAAGAAGGAAAAGGAAGGAGACATAAGATAAAGCTCACCTTGTTGGTGATAATCCTAGTTTCCCATTAAGTTTCTCTAGGCTTAGCCATGTGCTATGTAAAATCTAAAGATAATCTCAAGTGATTAATACCAGAGAAGAAAGCAGGAGGGTTTTTGTTTTTTGTTGTCTTGGTGAAGATCATTGGCTGGATATTGTCATACCATTGTTGACAGCTGACTTGTTAAAAAAAACCCCTGCCAAATATTTTAAAACACTGTTAAGGGAGTATGTATTAGGACTGGTATAAAAATTACAAGTTCCTATGCTGTTTCTTTTTTTTTTTAATTTCAGGGAATATAACTAGGGTTGTATAGTTTTTATACCTGTGGTTGCCCAAACACAAAATACATTCTTATGCCTTCAGCTTAAATGACTGACACATGGAGATGACATATTTATTACATTAACACCCACTCTTTTTCCTGGGAGCTTCACACAGATTACATGGGGATGGGTGCAACCTACTTTTATTCCCCTAACAACTCCAGAAGGTATGCTAGGCTAAAGACTACTGCTCCAAAGTTACCCACAGAATTTCATAGTTAGTGGGGTTTTGAATTTAAGCACAAAACTAAGAGATTTTTTTTCCCCTGAGAAATTCAGGGAGAAATTCTCCCCATTTCAGCCAAGAATGGGAAAGGGGTAAAGTAAGTGCCGAGAGGGCTGGGTGTACATGTTCATCCCTGCAATTGTCAGTGCATGCAATAACAGGACTTATAACGATGAATATGTGCCAAATATGTTTTTAGGAATCCACAGAAATACATAACTAAGAATTTCTATAGCACAGGTTCTTCAGTTTTTCTCTGGTTGTGAGTGAATTCTTACTGAATTCCCTGTGGTCCCATTTTCTTTTTTACAAAAATTACACATTGCATTTTCATTAGATTACCTGAGTGAGGTTTCAAACAATAGTAAGAATATTACTACCGCCAGACCAAGCCATTAAAACTATAAAATTATCTTAAAGACTTAATGTGAGGGACAGAAAACCATACCTTTGTTTTTGGTGTTAACTAAGTTTTAGTAATTGTTGCCCTACAAATAATTAAGAATTGCATCCATTAAAATTAGCTAGCATGTGTATCTCTCTGTTTGCATATGTACACATGTGCACATTGCTTGAAATTAAGTCATGCCACTGAAGCATACTGCACCATGCTGCTAATTTTTAGCTGCTGTAATTTACTTCCTTCCAACCGACAGACAAAACAAATGCATGGGCTAGATAGGTTGTAGCAAACAATGATTGCTACTTGGTCAAAATAGGTCCCTGTTACAAATACACAAGAGTGAGGCACAGCTGCCATAGGACTCAAAGTCCATGTTACTCCATGGGATGGCTGTTTGGGTGGATTATGGCAGGGTTC